CCCGCCCGAGGCTCCCCGTGCGCTGGGGGCCCACCCTCTGGGAGCCAGCAGGCAGGAAGCTAGCCAGCCAGAAGGCTGGCGCTCCCCCTGTTTTTTTTTTATTTTACTGGGAATCAAACTCAGGATCTCACACTTGCCAGGTGGGTGCTGTGCCACTGAACTACATCCCTGGCCCATCAAGTTGACAATTGACAGTTAACCACCACACTTTCACTAGAGGTTCCTTAACAATCTTCTATGAAGACTTCTGCCTTTCTTTCCTTTCTTGTCCCTCTCTCTTCTTTCCTTTTATTTCTTTCTATTTATTTATTTAGGTTTTTTTGAGACAGGGTCTACTTTGCAGCTGGCCTTGAACTCTGTATTGCCCAGGCTCCTGAGTGCTAGGATTATAGCCGTGTGCACCACGCCCAGCCTCATTGGTTATTTCAAGTGAATGAAATGCTATTTTACTGATTCCCTGCACTACAAAGGCCGTAATATACTGCACATATTTCCAGAGTATTTTCTGGAGATTGAGAGGGAGGGAACTGTCATTTAGGACTTGAAATTTTCCCAGTACCTGTTAGCTAAGGTAGAAAGGAATGATCTAGTCTGTTTGAGCTGTGTTGTATATATATTCATGCCAGGGATATAGCTTAGCGGCACAAGCACCTGACTGGCAAGTGCAAGGTCTTGAGTTCAATTCCCAGAACCAAAAAAAAAAAAAAAAAAAAAGTATATATATATATTCATGTACAAGGAGCCTTCTAAAAACATACTACAGGCAGCTTTTCTTGTGTTTGCCTTGTAGCCACCTGAAAACCTCTGTTCCTATGTGTGAAGATGTCTCTGGTGGACTTGGGGAAGAGGTTGCTGGAAGCAGCAAGAAAAGGCCAAGATGATGAAGTGAGGACACTGATGGCAAACGGTGCCCCATTCACCACAGATTGGGTAAGTTCAGCCAAAAAGCAGAAAAGCCTCATTATTTCCCAAGTATGTTGTCATCAATCTTTTACTTCTACTTTTTCTTTTCTTTCTGGTTTTTCCCAGTACTGAGGATTGTTCATGGTAGGCTAGTGTTGCATCTCTAAACTAATCCGTAGCTCTTTTTATTTTTTGAGATAAGGTCTTGCTAACTTCAGTGTCAACTTGAACTTGTGATCCTCATGCCCTAGTCTCCCAAGGAGCTGGGATTATGAATGTGCGTCACTGCATTGGCTCCACCTTTTTTCTTTCTTTTTCCTTTATTTCAGGGGAGAAGGGTACTGGGGATTGAACCCAGGGCCTACCACTGAGCCTAATCCCTAGCCCATTTTTTATTTTATTTTAAGACAAGATCTGGCCAGCTTGCTAAATTGCCTAGGCTGGACTTGGAACTTGTGATCTTCCTGGTATTACAGATATGTGCCACCACACCCAGCTTCCAAGTTTTTTGTTTTGCTTTTGAAATAAGAATCTTGCTATGTAGTTCAGACTGGCTGTGAGTTCACTATGTAGCCCAGGCTGGCCTCAAATTCAAAGTGATTTTCCTACCTCAGCCTCCTGAGTCAGATGTGCGTCACTGCACCTGGCTGTCCAACCTTCTAAAGGATAAACAGGCATTATTGGTTTTTCTTCATAGTCTTTTCTGTCTCGTTCTCTTTTTTTTTCCTGTCTTGTTCTCTTTACAAGAGTTTGTCTCACCTGAATATGTAGTTTTTTTCTAAATTGAGAATTGCCTGTGGATATATATGTGGTAATTAGAAAGTATTGTTTTTTATTTTCTGTAATGTTTTTTAGAATATTTCCTAAAGGATTAATTCTCTCTGGAGTGTGCTTAGGTTTTAGGCTTTGTAATTATCCAGAAATTAAACAAAATCATAGTAAGTGCATTTCTAAGGTAATAAACTCATTGTTTCTTTTTCTCTAATATGTTCTGGTTCATGAAGAAGGGTAGCTTTTTGTTTCATTTACCAGTCTAGGAAGACATGAAAGAGAAATGGATAATTACACAGCTAACTTGGAGACCAGAGAGTTTGAGAAGGTCCAGGTCGAAGTTACAACATGGCCTTTTTTAGCATTTGCAGATTTTGTGAGCTGACTAATTTTAACAGTTTCAGTGAACAATGACCTCTATTGTGGGGTAATTAATTCATATATTCAGAGGCCAACAAGTTCTTAACACTTCACAAAAAAACAGCAAAGAAACCCCATGCAATTAACATTTCTATAAGTAAACCTGAAAAGAGCTATGTGAATTAAATCCAGTCAGGTGCAGAGGCTAAGTATATGGAAATCAAAGAATAAACTAAACAGACTTAAAATAGCGAACATAATATAAAGAAAAGATTAGATCTCTGACAGGGTGGATGCTGTAGGTAAGTCCTGAAAGATTTTTATCAAGTGATGCAGACTTGCTTATTGCTGTCAGCACATCACTGCTAAATTCTTGCTGCCTCTTCATCTTGTAGGTATTTTTGCTCTGCTTTGCTGTGGCAATAGTAAACAGTAGAATATCTATTCTAATCAATCAAATTTATACCTTATGGGGCTGGGGATTTAGCTCAGCGGTACAGTGCCTGCCTGGCAAGCGCAAGGTTGTGAGTTCGATTCCTGGTACCGGAAAAACAAAAACAAAAACGAAAACCAAAAAACAAATTTATACCTTAAATTCTATATGTAACTTTCTAGTCTCTACCCTTTTTTTTTTTTTTTTTTTTTAAAAAAGACAGGGTCTTACTTTTATGCCAGGGTGGCCTGGAATTCACAGCAATCCTCCTGCTGATATAGGAGAAATGTAATTCCCAACCTGTTAGATGCCAGATGTGCCAAGTTCCTGCCCCCAGAAAATCAAAGAATAAGTTCCAAGGGACAGTGGAGGTTAAAAGTAAGAAAGGTTTATTGCAAAATAGCTCCTGAGAGACAGGAGAGGTCCTGAAAGTAGGATCCCCCTTGTCAGGGGTAATTTGTCTACCAAGGTCACAATGTGAGTATAAGGTGGCTCAAACTGTAATCAACCTGTAACATTATAAATATAGTCACTTACCTAATATTGATCCAGTAAGGAAGGGCACGTGGCAAGGGTACATGGAAAGAACAAAGGCATTTTGGGGAAGGGATGGGTCTGGATGTTCTGGTCACCCACTTGGGCAGCTATTGTCTAAATGGACATCTTGGACCAGGTGGTGCTAATTACAGAATAATTCCAAGTTACAGCTTATCCCTTAGGGAGTCATGTAGGGATGTTTATCTTGAGGCCTGGCCTTAAGATGTGCTTCCAGCCACAATTCTTTTTTTTCCTCTCTCTTTTTTTTTTTTTTTTGTTTGTTTGTTTTTCTTCCGGTACCAGGAATTGAATTCACGACCTTGCGCTTGCCAGGCAGGCGTTTTGCCGCTGAGCTAAATCCCCAGCCCCTCCAGCCACAATTCTGATGTTTTTATTTTTCATTGACTTCCTTGAGAGCCCAGTCCCTCTCTGACTGTGTATTAATTTCTGTCTAATTTAGCTGCCTATAGCTCAGTGTGGTAGTGCATGCCTGTGAGGCTGAGGCAGGAAGGCAGGAGGATTGCTGAGAGTTCAAGACCATCCTGAGCTACAAAGTGAGTTCAATGCCAGCATGAACTGCATAGTGAAACCCTGTCTCAAAAAGACAAAAAAAAAAAAAAAAAAAAAAAGAACAATAACGTAGCTGCCTGTAATAGTGCCTCAGTCTCCTAAGTGCTGAGATTACAGTCGTGTACCACCACACCCAGCTTTGCCATTTTCCTAAAAATTATTTAGGACCTATTTACTCTTTTCCCTTACCCCTGACTCAGAATCTCAGAATGATTTTTTTTTGAGACAGCGTCTTGCTGTATATTTTAGGCTGGCTTTGAACTCACTATGTAATCCAGGCTGTTCTCAAACTTGAAGCGATTTTCCTACCTTGGCCTCCCAAGTCCTCGGGTTACAGGTGTGTGTCACCATGCCTAGCTCTCAGAATGCTGTTTTTGATTCAGTTTCTTTATTTTCTTTAAAGCCCTTTTTAAAATCATGTCCTGCTGGAGGCAAAGGGAAGAGGATCAGTGCAAGTTTGAGGCCAGGTGGTGCTACAAAATGAGTTCAAGGCCAGCCTGAAGTACATAGTGAAACCTTGTCTCAAAAAGATAGATAGATAGATAGATAGATAGATAGATAGATAGATAGATAAAATAATAAAGTAAAATCATGTCCTTTAAGGGATCTTACCTGATAAATCTACCTGCTCTAAGACCATTACACTTCATAATTATTTGTTTAAATGGTGATATATTTATCTGGCAATTAGGTTTTTTTTTTGGGGGGGGGGCAGTACTTGGGATTAAATTTAGGGCCTTGCACTTAAATACATCTCCAGCCCCTTGTTTTTTGTGGTACTGGCTTTAAACCCAGGGCCTTTGTACTGAGCTACACTCTTACCCCATGTTTAAATTTTGAGACAGTCTCACTCAGTTGCCCAGCCTGGGCTCAAACTTGGATCCTCCTGCTTCAGCCTCTTAGAGGCTAGGATTATAGCCTGTACCACCATGCCTAGCTCTAGTGCATTAGTTTTTAAATGAAAGCCTTTTCAGTCACGTGTACCAATTAGAGTCTCTCTCCCAGGACAGGAGCTGTAGGAATCACTTGTTCATGTCTCTCTAGCTGTGGCCCAGGGCTCTGCATAGAGCAGGTATTCTTTTTTTTTTTTTTTTTTTTTTTTTTTTTTACAATGAATTATTTTATAGTATAACAATCATG